CCTTAGGTTGACAGGCAAAGGCAAAGGCTAAGGCTGCTAGTTAGTTGTGTTTTTTTCAACAAAATGCTCTTCTAAACCTGAGTGAAAATCAAAACACACAGATAGTCTGGGCAGGCTGCAAAATCAATGCAGCACACAAATACACACAGACACACACACAGAGCACACACACACACACACACACACACACACACACACACACACACACTTGACTGTCAGTAGGAGAGTTCCCTGGTCTCCATTGGAAACGACTAGGAAGGTTTTCCTGGTGATTTGCTTTCCACTTAATACTTCCCTCTAAGACCCTGTGGAACTCTTTCAGTCCATCAACTTTCAGCCTGGATAGTCTCACCACCTCCATGGATGACGGCAGACTAGCTTTTCACTACGCAGAGTAGGCTCCTGCCAGCACTCACCTGGTATTCTGGAAATTATGAAGCAAAAGCAGACAGCGTGGGTCAGGGGCTCCTGCTGAAGTAGCCCTAGCCGAGAGGGAAATAGGTGGAGAGACTTCATGTGTGCAAACAGCAGGCTGCGTGACCTCGGAGTCAGTTTGTGGTGACTTTCCAGCCGGCTTCCCTCTCCCCCCCTGGCATGCAATAGCAGAGCCCTATGGGGGCTTGTTCTCTAAGATAAACAGAAGTGGGCACTGCTGGCGTCTACAGACACTGGGCACTTACCGGACTCAGGCCGGAAGAAAGGGATTCGGTGGAAGCCAAGGAAGAAAGTCGACAGACAGGGGAGGTCAGTGGTGCTACTTGAGAGCTTCTGCCCACCCTCTGAGCATTTATTCGAGGCAACACAGTGGTGTCGGTCATCTCCATCCCTTCCCTCAGCTTTTGATGTGTGTGTATGTGTGTGTGTGTGGGGGGGGTCCGGATGAACAAATGCCAGCACACATCAAAGTGATGAGTCCATTTTCTGCTTTGCTTCCAGCGTTCCATTTCTCCAATGAGTACCAACATCTGGAACCTCCTGGTGAAGAACCCCCAGAACAGCTGCTGGCTGAATGCAAGACGCCTGAGAAAACCCAGAAGTCCTCAGAATACCAGGACCAATGGGAGATGCCAGGGACCTCCAAGGAAGCACAGGGGCCTGTCAACCCTGGAGTCCTCTGCACAGGCTCGTCCCGATGAGAGGCCTGTCTTCACTGAGCAGTTAGGGCTATGTTCTGCTCACCGGCAGCAACGTAATATTCGCGTGGGGTCTCGCGCAGGAAGGGTAGCACCAGAGGGCCCCGGAAATAGGGCATGGCCCTCCTGTGGGCCAGACCTGTGGGCCAGACCATTCAAGGAAGAGGGTACCCATGAACGTGCTTCGTGTGGCAGTTCATTTAGTCAGGCAGCCTATTTTGACCAAGAAAGACAGCAATGCAGGCTCTGTAAGAGGGAGTTTATGTACAAGTTGGGCCTGAAAGAGCATGTGAAAACTCAGGTAGTTTCCAGGCCTTACCAGTGCCCCTACTGCGGGAAAAGCTTTAGAGGGCAGTCCCATGTTATCGCACACCAAGTGAGACACACTGACGAGAGACCATTTGTCTGCCAACACTGTCAGAAAAGCTATAAGCACAAATCCAGCCTGCTGCGACACTTGAAAACCCACAAAAGGGAGGATGAACACAAGGAAATCCAGGGCTCTCAGGGCCCCATGCACAACACACACTAATAGCTCAGCCACCTGCAAGCTTTGCAGCCCAGCTCCCCAAGGACGGGTTGCTGGAAACAGGACCCAAGAAACAGATGCTGCCCTCATAAGAGCCTCCCCAGCACCGGGCTGTCTTGGAAGCATAGTGTTGTTTGAGTTCATTCAGAATGGAGTTTTGCTTTCAGCTAGATGCAAAACCTGCCTTCCAAGGCCTACCAATGCTAGGATTGTCACCTACTCCCCATCGTCCTGCATGTAATGTTCTGGGCCCAGTAAGATCTTGTTTTGCCTTTAATACAAATATTGTTTATTCCCAAGCAGTACCCTCATCACAAATGTTGTGATAATGTTATACAGATTATATGCATTGGTCACACCTGTACTTAACTAAGTTGTCAATAGCTGTGGGTGTCCAATGTTCCTTACTATTGGAAATGGTGGTCACAGAGAGTTTTGTTTTGTGTTTTGCTATTGCTGAGGAGAGAACTCCAGGCCTTGCACGTGCAAAGCAAACACTCTTATCACTGAGCTCCATCTCTAGCTCAGGTTAAGTTTTTTTCTTTCCTAGTGCTGGGGAGTGAATTTAGGGTCTTGGGCTTGCAAATCAAACACTACCATGCAGCTCCATCTCTAAGTCCGGTAGTTTATTTTGTGTTTTTTCTTTACTGGTGATGGGGAATGGATTTAGGGTCTTGAGCTTATAAATCAAACACTACCACTGAGCTGCATCTGTAAGTCAGTCAGGGTTTTGAATTCTTCAACTTTGACTGCAGTTGTTCTTTAATTTGAGGTTATATGCTTGTTTGCCTTGTATTCATGGTCTGTTACTGAACTTTTTGTTTTCTATTTACTCTTTGGTCCAGAAGCTGACCAATGCTAAGTCTTTGCTGATAAGTTTTTGTTATGCTGCAATTTGATTAATAAACAACCTTCTGTTTCTGCTTTGTGTCAGTTTTTGTTTTCTTTAAGACTTGTATCCTATGGGAGGGAACAAGAACATGTGATGTGCACATGTGGAGGGTGTTCTGGGGTCTCTGAGAGGATTTTCAGTTAGTAAATGCATGCCTGCTCCCCGGTGCCCGAGCAGGGTAGTGGTGTTCCTTAGGTAAAAGGCTTGCATTTTTGTTCTCATATACGTTTGGGAACCATTTTTTTCAATATCATGGAACAAATTTTAATAGGTGCATATGCTTTTAAGCTGGAAGTAAACATCGAAGGCTGAATTTTAAACTTGGGAGGAGCCTGTCCTCCCTCTCAAAGCTATTCAAATAACAGCCAGACTCAGGAGCCCATTCTTGCCTTTCATCTGAGAATGAGAGGAATCATGATATTTCCTAAGATTTTTGCATTTGCAGCCTGTGGGGCTACCAGTTCCCAGCATACTGAGGTTGCTCATCTGGAGCAACAAGGGAAAGGTGGGAAAATCAGTGCTCTGATGTTGCAAAACTAGTCTAGAACAGCATTGAACTCTGCCCCCTTGCCTCTGCAATCCCTATTTCTTCCTGAAGGGAAACAGTTCCTCCAGGGAGCTCCAGGCAGTTGAGTTGCATTCCTCTGTTTGCTGTCAGACCTAACCCCAGGCCCAGACCAACTATTCTTAAGTATAACCAGGGTTCACACTCCAGTTCCTGCTTCTTTCTTCGTTCTCTGCAACACGTTTATGGGGTCAGAGTCAATGCCCCAGATGGCTAACCTGGGCTAGGTCCACATGGCTAAGGACAGGGAATGTTAAGATGTGGCAAATGTATCAATACACACCCAAAGTCTGTCTTTAACTGACATCTTGAATGCTGAATGCAAGAACAAGAATTTGTGAGGTGACTTCAAACAGTAAAATATGAGGCCCATCAAGAGAGTCAAGGGATGCGTGCTGGCCCTGAGAATAAGGCTCTGTCTAACCAGCACTGAGTTTTGTAGAATTCCTTCCTTCTTGTCTTTCCCACTATTTCCCTATCCTAAGAAGTGAGGTGTGTAGACAGGAGGTAATGAAAGACAAGGACTTCTCCTGTTTGAGGTGGAAGAGAATTCACCACCAGCTATGTGCTTGTCCACCCTGTGAATTCATGTTAGTGTCTCACTGACAGCTGTGAAGCAAAGGAGCCTTCGCAGTGCACAAGACAGGAAGAGGACGGGTGACTGTGGCCCCTTCTTCAGGGTTTACCCTTTGAAGGTGAAACATGCTGTGAGAACTCACATTTTCCTGACATTTGTCAAACTCACATTCATGGAAATTCTCCGTTTCCTTCTTGTGGTGCTTTTAGACATGGTTGGAAATGCTTGTCTGTCAGCATGTGTGTGCGAGTAAGTTTTGCCAACTTGACACAAAGCTGGAGTTACCTGGGAAGAGGGACCCTCAAAGGAGGAACTGCCTCCCCAGGGCTGTAAGCATGTCTGTTGGAAATTTTCTTTTTTCAAAATTTATTGTCTTTAGCTTTTCATCAGCATAGTTTGAATATATTCTCTCCCTACCTCCCAACCAGCTCAACTCATGTTCTTTCTCTCTAAATAAAAAAGAACAAAAATCAAAACAAGCCAACATAAACCCGCCATGACAAATGCTACCAAAACAAAATACAAGCATACAAAAATCAAGGAGACCATTTTGCACGGCCCAATTACTTCTGAACATGGGACTTACCCCTGAGTGTGGTTGATGTATTCAGTGCCATCCTACTGGGCAAAAGGATTTTCCCTCTCCCATTGTGTATCAATTGCAGGTAGCTTCTTGGTTAGAAGTGAGGCTCTGTGTCCACTTCCCCCTCTCCATGCTGGGATTTTGTCTGGTTAGAACTTGTGCATGTTTTGTGCATGCTGTCACAATCTCTTGACTCCATATGTGTGTCAGCTTTGTTGTGTCTGGAAGATGCAGTTTTCTTGGAGTCATCCATCACATATGGTTATTGTAGTCTTTCTGTCTCATCTTTTGCATAGATTTCTGAACCTTGAGGGGAGTGGTTTGATAAAGACATTCAATTAAGACTGGGTGCTCCAAACTCTCACTCTCTATGCGTTGTCCAGTTGTGGCTCTTTGTCTCTCTGTGTTAATTGTCATCTACTGCAATAAGAAGCATTTCTGATGAAGGTTGAGCAATTCTCTAATCTATGGGTAAAGCAATTAGAAGTTATTAGAATTCATTTTATTGCCGTCCATTTAGCAGAATTACAATAGGAGATTTCCTCCTAGGATTCGTGTCCTATCTGGCCTCAGAGGCTTGGCCTGAGACCCCCTCCCCATTCAATCCTTCTATACTAGTTCTCCAATTTATTCCTTTGTAACACTCTATTCTATGTCTTCTTCCTTGGAAGGTCTCCTCCTGTCCATGTTCCCTTGCTGGATAACTAATCTCTTTGATTATTCTAAATGAAACACACACACACACACACACACACACATACATATATATATACATATATGTAAAGCTTAAAAGCTAACTGCATGTATGAGGGAAAGCATGCAATGTTTGTCTTTCTCAGTCTGGTTTACCTTTTGGGTATTTTCCTGATTAATAGTTAATGGAGCAGGCCCAGTACATTGTGAGTGTTGCTATCCCCGAGCAGGTGATCCTAGTCATATAAGGAAGCCAGCTGAGGGTTGGGCTGGAGAGATGGCTTAGTGGTTAAGAGCACTGGCTGGCTGCTGTTTTGAGAAGAGCAGGCTTTGAATCTTAGAACTGAGGTGGCAGCTCACAACCACATGTGCCTCCAGCATCAGGGGATCAAATGCTCTCTTCTGGCCTCTGCAGACACTGCACAACGTGCTGCACAGACACACATGCAGGCAAAGCACTCATATATATGTTATATGTGCAGTAAAAACAAAAGGTAAAGGACGTTTTTAAATTTTTTAAGAAAAAAACCTGAGAAAGCCAAGGGGAGCTAGCCAGTAAGCAGCCTTTCTCCATGGTCCCTGTTTCTGCTTCTGCTCGAGTTCCTGCCCTGCCTTCCCTCAGTGATGGACTGTGCTGCGAAAGTCTACACCAAAATGAACCTCCTCCGTGCTAGGTTGCTCATGGTGCTTATCACAGCAGTGGAAAGCAAACTAGAATACGATGGCATGCAGAAGAGTATCCTCCCGGAAGACAGCACACTCTTTCACAGAACAGACTCTGAACCTGTCCTCAGATACTGGTGTTTGACTGGATTAGCTAGGTTAACGCGAGGTGATCACAAGAGACAAGAGGAAGCAGGAAGATTGGCGTCAGAAGCAGATCTTAGACTGATGCCAAGGCCAGGATGGGGGTCACACAGTGCTGGTGCCCCGGAAGCTGAAAAGAACAAGAAAAATGGTTTCTCTCTTAAAGCTTCAGAACAGTGGTTCTCAACCTTCCTAAAGCTGTGACCTTTTAATATAGTTCCTCATGCCATGGTGATCCCCAATCATAAAATTTATTGTTGCTACTTTGTAACTGCACTTTTTCTACTGTTATGAACCGTAATGCAAATATTTCTGTGTTTTCTGATGGTCTTAGGTGACTCCTGTGAAAGGGCCATTTGGCCCCCAATTGGGTCCAGACCCACAGGTTGAGAATCACTGTTCCAGAAGATAGTAAACGTAGCCAGCACCTTGATTTCGCAAAATCAAGATGTGTCCTATTTTAGGTGTCTAAGCATATGATTATCTGTAACAAGAACAATTGCAAAGTGACATACCCAAGTGGAGGTGGCAGTCTATTTTTCCTGCCCTGGAATCTTGGTAGGCTGCAGTAAGCTGCTAATCAAGTAGATCAGAGAGGATGCTGGTCACCTGGTCACCTTCACCTACCTGAAGTCTTTGAGGACAATTTGATTATTTCTGCGTGTCTATTCCTCCTGGGTAAATTTGCTTCTTTGTGTTCTAGAGCTTTCAGTTGTGCTGTTAATTCTCTAGTGTAACTATTCTCCAGTTTCTTCATGTGGGTACTTAGTGCTATGAAGTTTCCTCTTAGTACTGCTTTCAAAGTATCCCATAAGTTTGGGTATGTTGTGTCCTCATTCTCACTGAATTCTAGGAAGTCTTTAATTTCTTTTTTTATTTCTTCATTGACCCAGGAATGGTGCAATTGTGCATTATTTAACTTCCAAGTGTTTGTAGGGTTTCTGTGATTTGTGTTGTTGTTGAATTCTAATTTAATGCATGGTGGTCTGATATGGTGCATAGAGTTATTCCAATTTTTCGTACCTGTTGAGGTTTGATATGTTGCCAAGTATGTGGTCGGTTTTAGAGGTGCTCCCATGTGGCTCTGAGAAGAAGGTATATTCTTCTTTATTTGGATGGAATATTCTACAGATGTCTGTTAATCACAGTTAGGTCATAGCTTCTATTAGTTCCTTTGTTTCTTTGTTAAGTTCTTGTCTGGTATTCCTGTCTAGTGGTGAGAGTGAGGAGTTGAAATTTCCCAATAGGGCTTTATATGTGATTTGAGTTTTAGTAATGTTTCTTTTACGAATGTGGATGCCTTTGTATTTGGGGCATAGATGTTCAGAATTGAAATTTCATCTTGGTGGGTTTCTCCTGTGATGAGTATGTAATGACCCCCTTCACCACTTTTGATTGATTTTATTTTAAAGTCTAATTTGTTACATATTAAGATTGCTACCCCCCGCTTGTTTCTTGGGTCCTTTTGATTGGAAAATCTTTTCCCAACCTATAACTATGAGGTAACGTCTGTCTTTGAGGCTGAGATGTGTTTCTTGCATGCAGCAGAAGGATGGGTTCTGTCTTTGAATCCATTCTGTTAGCCTGTGTCTTTTATGGGCGAGTTAAGACCATTAATATTGAGGGATATTAATGACCATCGATTGATCATTCTTCTTTGATTTGGAATGGTTGGTGGTGGTGGAATTGTGTGTAGATTTCCACCCCTTTGTTCTTTTGGGTGTTGGTAAGGTGGGATTATCTAATGCCTATGTTTTTCTGGTTCACTTTTATCAATTGGAGGTAGCTTCTGGGTTAATAATGGGGGCTTGTGGCAGGCAGTGGTGGCCCAAATGTTAATTCCCAGCACTCTTGGGTAGAGGCAGGTGGATCTCTGTGAGTTCAAGGCCAGCCTGGTCTACAGAGTTCCAGGATAGCCAGGGCTACACAAAGAAACCCTGTCTAAAAATATGAAAAGAAGACAAACAAAAAAAAACCCAAAACAAAAACAAAACCAACTAGGGCCCCACTCATTGTTGGTACTGTTTCTGGCTTAGATGTGCATAGGCCCTATGCATACTGCCACAGTCTCTGTAAGTTATATGAAGAAAACCGGTTATTGAAAATTTAACTCTCTGCATTTTCTGTTCTAATGTTAGGATACAGCATGATATCTTTCACAGACAATTGCAGTTGTGACATAATGAATAAACAGACATGTTTCTGAGAGTGTGAAGAAATAAACCTTAAGGCGTGTGGGAGATGGCTCAAGGGGCACTCGTCACCCGAGTTTGATCTCTGAAACTTACATGATGGAAAGGGAGAACTGACTCTTCCAAGTTCTCTAATCTGCTCATATGTGTCTGTCTACATACATATGTACACTCTTAAACACATGCGCACAAAATAGATGCAGCAAAACATATAAACAATACAAAAATGCATGGGCCTCCAACAGGAGGTTTCAGGGAGAAGACTGTAGGATAAGATTTGAAAATGGATTCCTCCAACCCTCCCAGACAAACAGGAGATGTTGCACCCACTTTCTTACAAGGGACTCTTGTTTTGAGGAACTTGCCTTTGATTCCCAAGGAAGCAGTTATCACAGCACATGCTGAGAAGCTCTGTGTGCCCAGAGTGCCGTTTAATCACGGCTTGGGGGCTGCACGTGTCACACTCTGAGACTTGCAGGCCCTCTTTTCTTCTCCTATTGCAAAAGTTTCTGTTTCATTTTCTAAAGTACACACAGTAGCTGCCTTCTGGATGGATATGGTTCTGGTTTAGTTAGATGAATTTATAAATAAAATTTCAAGCCAGGCAATCCCATGTAAGTATCTGTACACCATTGCCAAGATCAGAATTTCAAAACCTGCATGGCAAATTTCATAGACCAAATCCTTATTAATAGAAATTGCGGCTATGTACAATGTTTATAGTTTATTCCTATGATGAAGGAAGAGCAAACTCAATAAATTGGTGCTATAAAGGATTTACCACTAAATTTGCTCAATAAATATTATTTGTTTATTATGTATACAATGTTCTACCTGCTTGTATGCCTGCACACAAGAAGAGGGCACCAGATCTCATTCTAGATGGTTGTGAGTCACCATGTGTTTGCTGGGAATTGAACTCAGGACCTCTGGAAGAGCATCTAGTGCTCTTAACTTCTGAGCCATCTCTCCAGCCCTGCTTAAGAAATATTAACTTATACAAAATTATAGCTTGACTAAAGGGGCACTGCCTCTACTATGACTGGAAGGTAAGTAGATTAATAACCAACCCTTTTAGGAACTATAAACAAAACAATGTAGAACTGTACTTCTTAACATAATTAAGAGTTTAGGGTTAATATTTGTTCACCAAGATTACTGCCCATTAGGCTCTATTTCCATATCAAAAGGAACGCAATTCTGCAAGGCTGGCAGAGTAACCCTGGTTATCAACAACCCCAAAGGACCAACTCCAGTCTATTTCAAAATAATTGTGACAATACCTTTGCTGTGTAAATCTACCATTGTTTCTAAATGCTGAATCTTGTAGCTTCTGTGTCTGTAAAACATGCTTAGTTGCTCCAAGTGTGTGGAGTGAATTCTCACTGGTGTGTGTGTGTGTTTGTGTGTGTGTCTGTGTGTGTGTGTGTAAGAGAGAGAGAGAGAGATACAGAGGCAGAGAGAGACAGAGACACAGAGAGAGTGATTGAAAGATTGAAAGGGGGAGCCTGCTGTGTTCCGTAAAGTAGTTAGCACAATATAGTCCCTGTTTCACAAACTGGCAGGTCCCGATTCATTTTGTTGGCTCCAAGGCTGCCTTAAGCAGACTCTTCTTGGTCCAGCAATTGTTTCAACAAAACCTGGCTTTCAAATGTTTTTCTTTTCCTTTTCTTTCTTTCTTTTTTTGTTTTGTTTCTCAAAACAAAATTTCTCTGTGTAGCAGCTCTGGCTGTCCTGGATCTCACTCTGTAGACCATGCTGGCCTTGAACTCACAGACGCCTACTTCCCTCTCCTGAGTTCAGGGATTAAAGACATGTGCCACCAGCACCTGGTTCAAATGATTTTCTAAGAGTGCATTTGGGATGACTTGACACGACTTTTAGGGTCAGATGTGTAAGGGCCCAGTAGTGGCAAGCTGAAGTGATCTGTTCCGCTGTCCAGGTACCTGGAGGGTCGAGGATCCTAACGCTGCCCACGCCTGAGCTAAGCAGCAAGCACCAAAGATGAAGGTTGCTGTAGAGTCAGCAGGCCAGGAAGGTGCCCCCAGCGACAGTGTGCAGGAAACCAACTGGCACCTTTCGGGTGAGGAGAGATGTACAAGCTCTGTGCTGAGGCTATAGCGATTCTCCTGCTTTAGCCACGGCTTCTGCCTCCTGTGCAGCAGATACACCGTTGCTGGGCTGCCGGTGCTGAGGCTGGTGCTTCTGTCATTGCTGCTACTGCCTGCATAGCTGCTGTCCCTGTCACTGCTGCTGCCACCAATGCATTGCTGCTCCTGTAGTTCCCGCACCCCTTCCACGGTTGCCGTCCACCCAAGGAGTCTATGCAGCTGCTCACACACCTGTGCAGTCACTCTTGCTGCCGCCGCTGAGGCTGCCACTACCCTGAGTCTGAGAAATGCAGGCCAGCTCTCTAGACCAGGCAAGCTCCTCTCTGGCACCGGAAGTAATCGCAGAAGCTGAGAACCGCTGAAGCCAGCCCGAGATCCCGCCCTTGGCTGCTCATTTCAGCAGCCAAAAGAGGATCTTTGGTTTGCTGTGGCTCTCAGGGCTTCTCTTGCTCCCCAAACTTCTTGAAAGGAGACAACGTAGTAGGAAGAACTCAGAAGGACAACTCCAATGGGAATACTTGTGCTGGGGAAAACACTCATCCTCACTTCCTGTTCATAAGTATATTTCCCTGCTTCTTCATCTTGGTTGCCTGTGGAGATTAAAGTCATAGCCACCGAAGTTATCCTACACATATCAGTCTCTCTGACCTCACTCCACAGGGGCTGCGACAGCATTTTATGTCTCTTCTGAGGAAGCAGGAAGGATGAACATTGGGTTCACGGCACCTGACACTTGAGGATAGTGTTAGAGAAAAACACAACTACAGACACAGTTGACAACCAAATTTTCATTCTTTTATTCATAACGTATTTCATAAGAGCCCATTTTGTGGTAAACACTGAAATCTAAGTGCTGGTAGTGGGGAGCCGTGTAGATTCCCTTCTGTGAATCAAAACATAAGTCTCCCTGATGTTCTTTCTTTGAAAGATTCTTATTGGGAAATTCCTAATGTTCGCTACAGTTTGTCACTTCACTGTTCTGATTTACTTCCAGCCGACGGCTTTGGCTGCGTTACCCGACAATGTATCTTCTGGTGTCTGACAAGGCTGGACTTTCTGTTAAACGTTCTCTCACACAGACTACAGGGCTGCTCACCAGTGTGGATTATCTGGTGGTTAACAAGGTGACATTTCTGAGTGAAAGCTTTCCCACATTCCAGACACTTAAAGGGTTTCTGTCCTGTATGGATTCTTACGTGTGCATGTAAGTTTGTGCTATTAACAAAGCTTTTCTGGCACCAGGAGCACTTATATAGCTTTATTCCTTGGTGTGCCAGGCAATGTATTTTAAGATCTGCACTCCACCTGAAGGGACGGTTACACTGCTGACAGGAAAAAGGCTTCTCTCTGGTGTGAACTCTCTGGTGTCTAGCAAGCTCAGAAGGAATTCTGAAGCCTCTCCCACACTCCTGACACTGGTAAGGTTTTTGAGGCTGTGGGTCACTAACTGAACCTACCATGTCTTCCCTCCCTGGAAGAGCCTGACCACCTCCCCATACCCTGGTTGTATCTGAATGGTTTTTCCTGCTGGTTTTTTTCTGGGTAGTTTGCTTCCTGGTCTTTGATAGGTTTGATGATGGCCTTGCTTCTATTTTTGATGTAGAGGCAGATTTGGGTTGACCATTTCCCATGTCATTTTCTGGCTTTAACCCTGTTCATAGAAAGAAAAGCACCAGTCAACAGGTGTTTCATAGAAAAGAAAATTTAAAGGACTAGAGACAATTGCCAATAATTACTTTGAAGAAATACATAAACGAGTGATTCTGGCCCAGGCTGGGAAAAATGGTATCGATCCACAGTCCCTTAGTCCACACTGTTAAGTACAGCAAAAAGTTCATGAAACGGTGTCTGGAGTTACAAAAGGAAATTATAAAAAGTGGAAAAGAGGCAAACAGGTCTAGGACTCGAGAATTTCAGAAAGAAACAACAAACAAACAAAAACATAGCAAGGTATATCACACCCAAACACCCAGAAGAAAGCAGAAACTCAAACTCAGTATTTTCCAACCCTAAAACTATCTATAGAAGGCTGTCTAGACAGACTTACTCCTTCCTCAGATTGAGTGTGAAACCTTTTAAAGACAGATATCATGCAAATCACATATAACTCTGAAAAGGAACTCTCCTGTTGTTTGTCAACAATAAGTAGACTGGGGAGTGTCCTTGCATTCCATCCCAGCATGGAAGCTTTCCATAAGAAGCTGAGAGATTCTGTCTTCCATCTCTTGTATTCTGTTAGTTATGCTTGCATTTGTAGAGAGAAGGACATGGGAGAGCAGGAAGGTTGAGCCAGGGTAAGAATAGAGGAGAAAAGGATGGGAGATACCACAAAAGAGGGAGCCATTATAAGTCAGAGGAGAGATCTGGCACTAGTGAGATCTTCACAGATCTACAAGAATGACACCAACTGGCATTAAGGCTGCCTCAAATGCACTCCCATGATAATGAGAATGATGACTACCTTATATGTCATCCTATAACTCTCATCCAGTGTCTGATGGAGGCAGAGGCAGAAACCCACAGCTGTGAACCAAATTGAACTCCTGGAACCCAGTTGCAAAGAAGAGTGATGACCAAAGGAATCAAGATCGGGCTCACAAACCCACAGAGGCAGCTGACCTAAACAAGGGGGAACACATGGACCCCGGACTGATGACTGAGGGGCCAGCATGGGATTGATCCAGACATCCCTCCCACCTGGCAATCTGTGGGTCCTTGGAGTGTGGAGCAGTATTTATTCCTGGCATACAGAAGGACTCAGGGAACCCATACCACGTGGAGCGATGCTCTCTCAGCCTGGACACATGAGGAAGAACCTGGGCCCTTCCCGGGATGATGTGAAAATGCCTCATGGAGGGATAGACTGGTGGTGAAGGGTTGGAAGGGTTGGGGGTGGGGGAGGAGGGGAGGGAGAGGGAACTGAAAGTGACATGCATAAAAAGTTAAAGAAAATAAAATATTAAATAAAGAAGCTGAGAGATAACATGTATGAACAGCTCCATCTAGTGATGGTGTCAAATAAATGCCAATGTACGAGAAGTATCAACATTGTAGGCATGAGATATTTCCTTTTAACAACAGCTACAAAGTGAAGAAGCAGAACTAGCAGAGAGACCCAGCTATGACTAGTGATCTGGCTTAGGAGCCCTTTTCCTCCCTGTGTTGAGATCCCCCTTCCACAACTGTATATCTGGTCTAGGCAAATGCCTTCCTTGCCTTCAGACAGCGTCATTCAGAACCCATGGTAGATCTAGCAGTATTAGAGGAAGCAAAAGACGCAAAATTAGTGCTACAAAGTCTCTAAAAACAAAACTCACAACAAAACTCACTGGAAGAAAACCACACAAAAGTAATAAACAAACTGGACGGTGATGGCACACCCCTTTAATCCCAGCACTCCGGAGGTAGAGGTGGACAGATTTCTCTGAGTTCGAGGCCAGCCTGGTCTACAAAGCTACACAGAGAAACAAAGCCTGTCTCAAAAAATCCAAAAAAAGTAATAAACTCTCTGCATGTTAAACTAATACAGAGTGGATGTCTGTTAAAATAGCATGCATAAATAGGACTGGAGCTCTTTTATTGTAATAGATAAAACTATCAGAATGCATTAAAAAGTTACTTATCAGCTCAGAACTAAGACAGTTGTAACTTGAGTGAATGAAAAATCTGACAAAGGTGTAATCACTAAATAGGTGAGGTTAGTTGGTCAGGGAGCCATGCCTCATCAGATTGCCAATAGGCAAACCTGTATGGAATTTTCTTGTAAGTTTCTAATTAATTTTAAAGTTTAAATGAAAAACAATCTTATTTTGCATACCAATCCTAGTGGGAGGGTCCAGCTCACTGTGGACAATGCCACCTCTGGGCAGATGATCATAAGATGTACAAGATAGGAAGCTGAGCAAGTCAGTACACAGCACTCTTCCATGGTCTCTGCTTCAGTTCCTGCCCCCAGTGTCCTGCCCTGCTTGCGTTCCTGTCCTGACTTCACTGAAAAGTCTGAAGAGGCAAATCCTTTCCTCCATAAATGGTTATGTTGTTTACCATAGCAATAGAAACCCTGACTAAGGCAAGTGTCAAACCAAGAAAAATTGGTCCATGAATTCTAAGTACTTCAGAACAGAGAAAGCTTTCAGGGACATCTCCAGCAAAGTCACACCATATACTCTTCTGGAAGAAGTGCCAATTTTAAAGAATTTTTTTCAGGCAACAGGTGGGTCAAAGGTCTGGGGTTATTATGACTACTATAACTTTGTGAAGGTGAGTGAAAAATTGATCAAGGGAAATCAGAATTCATGGAGAAGTTCTAGGGTACTTTCCTGGTAAAGTAGAGGACGAAGTCAACAGTATGAGAAATGCTGTCCACAGCTTCCGTCTTGAGAAGAAAGGAAAAAATCCACTCAGAATTGGAAAACCAAAATGCAGCAAAAAGACAAAAAAAGCCTTAAAGAAAGCATACAATATACTGTTTCCCCAATAAATTGGAAGATAATCAAAAGCACAAAGAACAAAGAAGGAAACTGATGTGAAAGTTGAAGCTTGGATAAAATAGAAAAATACATAAAAATTTCTACAAAATATGTCCCAGTTAAAGAAGAGAAAGCCAAGAAAGCACCAGAAAGAGTGTTAGTGCCATTCTATCCTAGAAAGTTACATCTTGCTAAAGAGATGCACAGGGAGAATTATTGATAATTAAAAAGAAACTAAAGTGAAGAAAAATGGAAACTACTGCAGCTGCTGAAAGTTCCAGGCTTCTAGAAAGCAATTTATATATATTTGTACTGAAGGTTGTACATAGGCAGGCAAAGTGTCTTAGTCACTGTTCCCCTGCTGGGAAGAGACGCCATGGGCACAGTGACTCTTGTAAAAGAAAGCATTTCATTCAGTGCTTGCTTACAGTTTCAGAGGCTAGCCCATTATCATCAAGGTGCACAGCAGAGAAGCATGGCGATGGAGAAGTAGCTGAGGGACACAGAGAGAGGGAGAGAGAGAAAGAGACGGAAGGAAGGCGGGAGGGAGGGAGAATGAGACAGACAGAGAGAAAAATAGAGACAAAGAGACACAAAGACAGAGATAGAAAGAGGCAGGGAGAGAGAGACTGGGCGTCTCTCTCAAAGCCTACCCCCAGTGACACACCTTCTCCAACAAGGCCACACCTACTTCAACTAAGACACACGTTCGAAACCTTCTCAAACCGTTCTACTGGGACTAACTATTTAAACACACAAACCTATAGGGATCATTCTCATTCAAACCAACATGCAAAAATAGAGACTGGCAAAATTATAAACAAAATACAACCATAAAATAAAAAATTAATGACAAAGCAAGCAAACAAACAAAAAACTCTAGAGCAGCTTGCAAATAAAGACCCCTTAAAGCTTCACAAACAGAAGGTTTGGAGGAAATCATCAGGAACACAGGACCAGGGCTGGAGTGATGGGTCCTATGTTAAGAGCACTTGCTGTTCAGTCTTTATCCCTCAGTTCCAGTCCTGCACACAGATGCCTCCAGTTCCAAGGTGTCCAATGCCCTCTTTAGCCTCCATGGCCACCCTTACAAACACTTACACAAATAAACACACATATTAAGAAATCAATCGTTTATTTATTTATTTAGACAGAATTTCTCTACGTAACTGCCATGGCTGTCCTGGAACTTGCTCTGTAGCCCAGGCTGACCTCAAACTCGGAGAGATCCACACCCGTCTCTGCCTTCTGAATGCTGGGATTAATGTTGCGACCATCGCCACCCAGCCTATATCCCTTCATAAAAGAGAAAACGACCAACATCCTCCAGACCACCAGTACATACTCCTCACAGGGCTATTCCAGTCTGGAAATGATGAGTAAAGAAAAGAATGAAAGATAATTCAAATGCTGAACATTTGATGGGACTGTGAGTATATATGATAACTAGGAAAGACCGAGACTAGCTGTGTTCTTTGAATATCACCAGAATAGTCAGATTGCTTATTGTTTCATATGTGAATCAAGTAGTAAGGTTCCTACAGATTGTCAGCCTTTCTGTTATCTTCTAAGAGTATATGTACTTCAGGTATATCCTGGGCTAATATTTATGTAAAATGTATTTAAATAAGGTTATGTCAGTAACATTCTATTAAAACTGTCAAAATATTTCAACGATTTTTTGTTTATAGCATAGAAAAATAAGATTAAATTTTCTGACTTAGAAGAAAGTAAACTTGATTAATAAAATGTGGAGTTTTTTATAGCTATACTGAAATAATTTAGCACATTCTTTAAGTTTAACAAATTGAAAGTTTGTCAGCTGTTGCTTTCTTGTGCAATCAAGACGTTGTATTTGCTTGAAGCAGTCTTCATTTTACACAGAGAACATTTATCATAAAGTAATATTCAGGGCTGGAGAGATGGCTCAGAGGTTAAGAGTGCTGACTGTTCTTCCAGAGGTCCTGAGTTCAATTCCCGGCAACCACATGGTGGCTCACAACCACCTTGAATGAGATCTGGTGCCCTCTGCTGGCATGCAGGCAGAAAATTGTATACATTGTATACATAATAAATAAATAAAATATTCTTATAAAGTAATGTTCACTGCTTTTGTGCAGACTCCAGCAGCCAGCCAGCAGATGGGAGACCTGCGGGCAGGTGGCACCACTGCTGCTGCCACCCACTGGACTCTGTTCCTACGAGACTCACTTTGTTGCCCACCCCCACATACTCCAGCATCTTCCCTGTGGACATCCCTCTCTGGCAACATCAGCAGACTACAAAGGTACAAGCACCACCCACACCAATTGGAAGAACAGTTGAATGACCGGTCTCCCAGGTAAACTGCCCCCATCTCTAGGCCGTAAGCCTCAGGGCACATCCCATGTCCCCCTCCCATCACACCCTCAGCAAGACAGCTTGAGCCTGCCCCCAATTCTGGTGGAACTCCACTGCTCTGGTGCAGTCCCCAGCAGCCAGCCAGTAGGTGAGAGACCTGCAAGTATGCTGTACCACTACAACTGCCACCCACTGGACTCTTTCCATAAGACCCATGCCACTGCATAGCCACACCTACCCTAGCGTCCTCCCCATGGACAGCCCTTCCCGGTAACACCAGCACACCCTGCAGGCACAACAAGTACTACTACTCCAGTTGGAAGAACAGGTAAGTAAACACCAGTGTAAGAATACATTCAATATCATAAAGGGCACAATGGCACCACCAGAACCCATAAAACTGTAGACTCACAAAGATAGGATAGATGATAGGATATGTCCTATACATTTTGCCAAATGTTAATGGACTAAATATTGTTCACTATAGTTCTTACTTGATAAATGTCTTGTCATATATAATTTTACTGTTAAAGTTAGAACCCTTATTTTTATTTAGACAGAAAAGAGGAGATGATAGGGGATGTCCTTCGACATATATGTTTCTCTTATTGGTTGAAATAAAATACTGTTTGACCAACAGAAACAGGAAGGTAGGAGGGACTAGGAAGTGAGGAAAATTCTGGGAAAGGTAGGCGGAGAGATACCAGGTAGACCACAAAGGAGTCCAGGCATTCTCCGGTAAGTCAAAACCATCTGGAAATACATACATTAATAAAAATGGGTTGCTAGTTAACACAGAGCTAGCCAATAAGAAGCCCTAAATATTGGCCTTCAGCTTAATAATGAATATAGCATCCCTGTGTTTTCCTTTGGGGCTGAAGTGGCAGGACGTGTCAGGACAAGAAAAACATCCAGCAACAAAATGATGCTGACAGGAAGGGTAAGATTTTCCATGTAAACCCTGACAAAAACTTAAAATGGATTTTAAAAACAAAAGAACAAAGTCAAGCACGGCTTCTTGGTAGCAGCATTTTCTCGGGTGGGCTTTGTTTGATAGAGACAAGCAGAGGCCCATCGCTCCTTTAAGATAGTCTTGCTGGGCGGTGGTGGCACATGCCTTTAATCCCAGCAATCGGGAGGCAGAGGCAGGCAGATCTCTGTGAGTTCCAGGCCAGCCTGGTCTACAGAGCAAGTTCCAGGATAGCCTTCAAAACAATACAGAGAAACCCTGTCTCTAACCCACCCCCAAAAGACAGTCTTCCTGACTCAGCGTTAGTGGCAAAAACCCACAGCCTTTTAGGAAGCCCCACTAATAAACAAACGGTGTGTACAAGCAGTTGGCAGCAGCAGTAACCACATCTCCAAGCCGCACAGCATGCTACATGGCCGATTTAGTTTTTTACTCATACAGACAAAACAGGTTTAAGAGTTGAGGTGGTGAGCACAGATTCCAATGCTGGTGGTAAACATACCCCCGCTGTGTTGGAAAGCCAGCAACTAAAACGAATGCCACGTTAATTTTAGTCATGCTGTTTAGCAAGTAAAAGACTCGTGGCCAGAAAAAGATGGAGATTTATGAAAGGGGTAAACTAAACTCAAGAGTTTCACTTCTAATAATTTAGAAATAAAGGGAGCAGACCCTCACTCAGCCCCCTGCTTTAGCAGCCACGACAGGCTACAGAAAAGACACGTAGGCCTCTGACACAAGGAAACTCCAGATCCTCTGGCCTCCCAGAGCCTAGGGCCAAAACTGAACACAGAGAAACTCCAGAACCGACCCCCCTCACCCAGTCTCCTAGATACTTGGTTCCTGGGAACTGTTCGGCTGCAAAAGAAACTTCAAGGGAGACCAAAACCTCTCCTGTAGTCTCCAGGATATAGTTCAGAAAACTACTGGTTATCTATGTACAACAGGCCACCTGAAAGTAACAAGATAATTCCATATAAATCACAGAGTGTTCCCTCTCAGCACTGACCAATGAAAATAATTGGTACACACGTATTTCATGTCATGTGTGTAAGACTAATTCAATGTTATAAAGGGCACTATGGTACCATCAGAACCCAGTGATCTCACAACAATAAGACCTAAGCATCCCACCACAGATGAAGCAGAAGTAAACAACTTTAAAAATAACTTCATGACCTTCCTACTCGTGTGGTCTTTGTGACTTCCACCATGGTGTACCGCAGCCTGGGCCAGAAGGTCCAGAAGGTGATGGTGCAGCTCATCAACCTCATCTTCAGATACTTGCAAAATAGGTCTCAGATTCAGGTGTGGCTATATGAGCAAGTGAATATGCGGATAGAGGGTTGTATTATTGGCTTTGATGAATACATGAACCTCGTATTAGATGATGCTGAAGAGATTCACTCTAAAGCACAGTCAAGGAAACAACTGGGTCAGATCATGCTGAAAGCAGACAATATTACTCTGCCTCAAAGTGTTTCCAACTAGAAACTCAGGCACTCAGAAGTTGAAGAGGAAGTACAGTGTTTTTAAAGGTGTCTTCGGCTGGGACCTTCTGAAACAATTATTCATATTGTTTAGTGGCCCTTATGTTATTATTGGGTGACAATAAATACTGTGAGGTTGTTTTTATTACAAAAAACTTTATGAATATGATAGAGGTCCTTAAAGGTGAAATGAAAAATTCACTTTAAGAAATGGAGGAAAAGACAAATAAAAAAATGGAAGAAATAAATTAATCCCTTAAAGATACTCAGGAAAAATCCCAATCATGCAGGTGAATGAAACAGTTCAAGTCTTTAAAATTGAAATACAGGTTATAAAGAAAACACAAACTGAGAGAATTCTGGGAATGGAAATTCTGGGTAAGTGAATAGGAACTACAGACTCAAGCATCCCCAGCAGAATACAAGAGATGGAAGAGAGAATTTCAGGTGCTGAAGATACAATAGATGAAACATATTCACTGGTCAAAGAAAATGTTAAGTACAAAAAATTCTTAACACAAAATTTCCTGGATGTTTGGGATACCATGAAAAGACCGAACCTAAGAATAATAGGTATAGAAGAAGGTGAGGAAATCCACCTCAAAGGTACAGAAAACATATTTAACAAAATAATAGAAGAAAACTTTCCCAACCTAAAGTAGGACATGCAGAACACCAAATAGACTGGACTCAAAAAATGTCATCTCATCACATAATAATCAAAACACTAAACATACAGAATTAAAAAAAAGAATACTAAGAGCTGCAAAGGAAAAACGCCAAGGAACATGTAAATGTAGGCCTGTCAAAATCATACCCCACTTCTCAATGGAGACTTTAAAAGCCAGAAGGTCTTGGATAGACTTTTTATTTGTTTATTTTTATTATATTTTTGGGTTTTCGAGGCAGGGAGACTTTTAAAAAAAAGATTTATTATTTATTCATTTATTTATTTCTTATGCATACAGTGTTCTGTATGCATGTATCCCTGCAGTCCAGAAGAGGGCACCAGATGATAGTGAGCCATCATGTGGATGCTGGGAATTGAACTCAGGACCTCTGGAAGAGCAGTCAGTGCTCTAAACCACTGTGTCATTTCTCCAGTACTTGGACAGATACTTTGCAGACACTAGGAGACCATGGATGCCACCTAAGCCTACCATACCCAGCAAAACTTTCAGTTACCACAGATGGAGAAACAAGATATTTCATGACAAAACCAGATTTGAACAACACCTATCCATTAATCCAGTTCTACATAAAGTGCTACAAGGAAAACTCCAATTCAAGGAAGTGAGCTGCACCCATGAAAACAGGCAATAGATAATCTCACACCAATAAATTCCAAAAAAGGGAAACAAACATACACTACCATCACCATTAACAAAACCAAAAAGTAACAGGAACTAGCAGTCACTGGTCATTATTATTCCTTAATATCAATGGTCTCAATTCACCTATAAAAAGACACAGACTAATGGATTAGACAAGAAAACAGGATCCATCCTTCTGCTGCATACATGAAACATGCCTCAAATACAAAGACAGACACTTACCTCGAAGGAAAGGGTTGGGAAAAGATTTTCCAATCAAATGAATCTAAGAAGTAAGCTGGTATAGCTATCCTAATACATAACAAAATTGACTTCAAAATAAAATTGATCAAAAGAGATGGGGAAGGACATTTTATATTCACCACAGGAAAAATCCATCAAGATGAAGTCTCAATTCTGAACATTTATGTCCAAAATACAAGGGCATCTACATATATAAAGGAAACAATAAAGCTTACATCACACATCAAACCCCATACATTGATAGTGGGAGACTTCAACACCTTTGGGCGTGGATAGTATTGTGGGCTCACCCCTACACCCCACTCTCATCAATGGCTAGGATTGCCAGACAGAAACTTAACAGAAAAATAAAGGAACTAACAGATGTTATGACTCAAATGGACTTACAGGTATCTATAGAAAATTTCATTCAAACACACCTTCTTCTCAGCACTTCATGGAACCTTCTCTAAAACCGACAACATACTTGTCCAAAAAGCAAATTGCAACAGATAAAAAAAATTGGCATAGGGCTGGAGAGATGGCTCAGTGGTTAAGAGCACTGTCTGCTCTTCCAGAGGTCCTGAGTTCAATTCCCAGCAACCATATGGTGGCTCACAGCCATTTGTAATGCGATCTGGTGCCCTCTTCTGGCCTGCAGGTGTACACGCTGGCAGAACACTATACATAATAAATAAATCTTTTAAAAAATTGGCATAACCCCATGTATCTTATTGGACCACCATGAGTTAAAGTTAGAGTTCAACAACAATACCAACTACAGAAAGCCTACAAACTCATGGATACTTAACAACTCTCAAATGAATTACCATTGGGTCAAGGGAGAAATGAAGAAATTAAAGATTTCTTAGAATTCAATGAAAATGGATGCATAACACACCCAAACTTACAGGACACTAAGAAAGCAGTGCTAGGAGGAAAGTTCATAACACTAAATGCCTACTACATAAAGAATTTGGAGACACCTTACACTAGACTTAACAACACACCTGAAAGCTCTAGAACAAAAAGAAGCAAACTCACCTAGGAGAACAAAATAGAAACAAAGAGAACAATACAAAGACTCAATGAAACAAAGAGTTGGTTCTTTGAGAAAATCAACTAGATAGACAAATCCTTATCCAAACTAACCAAAAGGCAGAGGTAGAATATCCAAATTAACAAATCAGAAACGAAAAGGGGAACATAACAACAGACACCAAGGAAATCCAGAGAATCATTAGGTCATATTTCATAAACCTGTACTTCACAAAATTGGAAAATGTCAAAGAAGTGAACAATTTTCTTGATAGCTACCATGTACCAAAGTGAAATCAAGACCAGATAAACAATTTAAATAGACATAAAAACCCTAAGGAAATAAAATCAGTTATTTAAAATCTCCCAACCAAAAATAGCCCACAACCAGATGGATTCAGTGCAGAATTCGACCAGAATTTCAAAGAAGAGCTAAGATCAATACTCCTCAAATTGTTCCATACAATAGAACAGAAGGAACTTTGTCAAATCCTTTTTACGAGGGGTACAGTTACCCTGTCACTCAAACCACACAAATATGCAACTGAGAAAGAGAATTACAGACCAGTCTCCCTCCCTAACACTGATGCAAAAATACTCAATAAAATACTGGCAAACAGAATCCACGAATAAATAAAAAAGAATAATCCAACATGATCAAGTAGGCTTCATCCCAGAGATGCAGGGATGGTTCATCATATGAAAATCTGGCAATGTAATCCACCATGTATAACACATGAAAAAAAAGCCACACAATCATCTCATTAGATGCTGTTAAAATCTGCCACAAAATCTAACACCCCTTCATGATAAAGGTCTTGGAGAGAATAGAGATACAAGGAACATACCTAAACATAACAAAGGCAATATACAGCAAGCCAACATCAAACTAAATGGAGGGAAACACAAAATAATTCCACTAAAATTAGGAACAAGACAAGACTGTCTATTTTCTCCATATGTATTCAATATAGTAATTGAAGTTCTAGCTAGAGCAATACGACAACAAAGGGAGAACAAGGGAATACAAATTGGAAGGGAAGAAGTCAAACTTTTGCTATTTACAGATGATATGATTGTATACATAAGTGACCCCCAAAATTCTACCAGGGAACTCCTACAGCTGATAAAAACCTTCAGTAATGTGTTGGGATACAAGATGAGGTTAAAAAAATCAGTAGCTGAAACCAAACAAGTGAAAGTCCTCTGAGACAAGAATTTTAAGTCTTTGAAGAACAAAAGTGAAGAAAATATCAGAAGATGGAAAAATCTCCCATGTTCGTGGATAGGTAGGATTAACATAGTAAAAATGGCAAACTTGTCAAAAGCAATCTACAGATTCAATGCAATCCCAACACAATTATTCTTGAAAGAACAATACTCAACTTCATATAGAAAAACAAGGAACCCAGGATAGCTAAAACAATACTGTACAATAAAGGAACTTCCAGCGACATCACCATCTCTGACATTAAGCTCTACTATAGAGCTAGAGTAAAAAAAAGTAGTTTGTTATTGGCATAAAAACAGACATATGGATCAATAAAATCAAATTGAAGACCCTGATGCTAATCCACACACCTATGAACACCTGATTTTCGACAAAGAAGCCAAAATTATACAATGGAAAAAAGAAAGCATCTTCAACAAATGTTGTTGGCACAAATGTATGGTAGCATGTAGAAGAATGCAAATACATCCATACCTATCACCCTGTAAAAAATTCAAGTCGTAGTGAATCAAAGACTTCAACATAAATCCAGTTACACTGAAACTTATAAAAGAGTAAGTGGAAACAGCCTTGCTTGCATTGGAAAAAGAGACCAGTTCCTGAATATAAAACCAGTAGCACAGACACTGAGATCGACAATTAACAAATGGGACCTCCTGAAACTGAAAAGCTTCTGTAAGGCAAAGGACACAGTCAATTAGACAAAATGGCAATCTACAGAGTGGGAAAAGATCTTCACCAACACCAAAATCACTGATGACAGTTTATGCTGGAGAAGTTGTGGAATAAGGGGAACACTCCTTCATTGCTGGTGGGAGTGCAAAGTTAAACAGCTTCTTTGGAAATCACTATGTCGGTTTCTCAGAAAAATGGGAACCAATCTATCTCATGACCCAGCGATACGAAAAGGTGCTCAGTCATACTACATGCACACTTCCTCAACTATGTTCTTAGCAGAATTATTTTTAAGAGCCAGAACTGGGAAACAACCCAGATGTTCCTCAACCAAAGAGTAGATAAGGATAATGTTATACATTCACACAATGAAGTATTACTTAACTGTAAAAAAATCAATGACTTCATGAAATTTGAAGACAAATGGATGGAAGTAGATAAAAAATATTTTGAGTGAGGTAACCCAGACCCAGAAAGACAAACATGGTACATACTCACTCACAAGTGGATAAAGTACAGGAGTAAAGTATAGGGTAACAAACCTACAACCCATAGCCCCAGAGAGGTTAGATAATGAAGAAGTTTCAAAGAGGAATGCGTGGATTTCTCTGGGAAACTGTGGGTGGGGGTGGGAGTTAGGAATGCTGTGTGTGGGAGGAGGGTTGGGGGCAGGACAGACGGGATAGTAATATCTTGATGGGGGCATTTGGGGGTTAGGGAGAAACCTGGTGCCAGGGAAACTCCAAGTAACCCACAAGGATGATCCAAGCTAAGACTCATAGCAATAGTGGAGAGGGTGCCTGAACTGGTCATCTACTGTAATTAGATTGGTGAGTGCCCTAATTGTCATTGAAGAGCCTTAACCCAGTAACTGATGGAAGCAGACACAGAGATCCACCAAGTACTGGGCTGAGTTCCAGGAGTCCTCCTGAAGAAAGGAAGGAGGAATTGCATAAACCATGGAGTCAATGTCATGAAGAGGAACCCACAGAGACAGCTCACCTGAACTGTCGGGAGAACATGGGGTCTGGACTAACAGATAGGGGGTCTGTATGGGACTGACCTAGGTCCTCTGCATGTGTGTGACAGTTGTGTAGCTTGGTTTGTTTGTAAGGCCCCTAGCAGTGAGATCAGGACCTGTCCCTGGAACTTATCTGGCATTTGGGAACATGTTCCCCATGCTGGATTACCTCATCCAGGCTTGATGTAGGGAGAGGAGCTAGGTCCTACCTCAACTTGATGTGTCATGCTTTGTTTTGGTTGATAAATAAAGCACTGTTGGTCAATAGAGAAGCAAGATAGGTGGGACTAGGAGTCAAGGAGAATTCTGGGAAATACACTCAAGAGTGGAGAGTCACCATGTGATCCCAGAGGAGAAGACGCGTCACGATGGCCTCCTCGGAAAGATAAGTCCTTATAAAATATATATTAATAATTATTGAGCTAATAATTAAGTCAGAGTTAGTCATTAAGAAACCATAGCAATCAGCAAACAGATTCATAATTAATATAGCGTCTTGCATGTTCATTTGGGACTGATGTGGCTCTGGGACCAGGCTGGTGGGAAAAATGCACGTTACATGCCTCAATCTGAATGGAGATGGCAGAGGAGTAGATGGGGATGGGAGTTAGACAGAGAGGAGGGGAGGGAGGGAAAATTGAGGTTAGTACATAAAATAAATGAAAAATAGTTCATTAAATTAAAAAAAGAAGAATCCTGCTTCACTCCTGTAAGAAAATTGAGGAACAATAAACCTGAATGTGACTAAAGAAAAAAATAAAGTAAAACCCTATTGATGATAACAGTGATATCATTGTTTGGGTCCCTTCAGCTATTCCAAACTTATCTTCAATCTTTTCAGAATTCACCTATTCATAAAATGTTTGTGTTGAGTTAATATAATTACAATAAAATATATATACAAACCCCAGTCTATACAATAGTTAGAAGGCACATTTTTAAAAAAGAGTTTGTGTGTGTGTGTGTGTGTGTGTTTGAGCCACATGTGTGCGGTGCCAAGGAGACCAGAAAAGATGGAGTTGCAGGCAGTTTGTGAACCAACTTGGATGATAGGAACAGATCTCAGGTCCTTTGGAAGAGCAGCAAGTACTGTTGACCATTGAGCCATTTCTCCCATCACAGCTAGAAGAATGGTGACAAAAAAAGAATGAAGTGGGAAAAATTCTGTACAATAGATATGAAGGATTATTATACAGCTATAGTAAGAGAGTTCAACAGTTACAGACAGACAAAGTAAACTCCATCTGGACAGAAGTATACAAATTGCTAACTGTCTTCTGACATAGAACACAGAAGAAATTCAATGGAAGCAGGACAGAACTTTCAATAAATGATGCTGAGGCAATTGGACATTGAAATGGCTATTATTGGTTTTCAACTTGATTATATTTGGAATTAACTAAAACCCAAGTGGCTGAGTACACCTGTGAGTGATTGTGTTTTCTTAATTAAATCATTTGAAATGGAAAGACCCACTTTTAATGTGGATCTTTCAGGTGGGAAGATCCACCTTGAATCTGGGCCACACCATTTGTTGGCATCCTATATAAAGAACACAGAAAAAGGCAGCTTGCTCTCTTTGCCTGTTTGCTATCTTGTTAGCAAGTCCATCTCCTCACTAGCATTAGAGCACACTTATTTGAGATCCATTGTATACTGAAGATCAGCTCTGACATCCAGCCTCATGGACTGAACAATGGCTGGATACTTAGGCAGCTGTTGTAGAATATTATTTTAAGATCTACAATTGTTTATGCTGTGGAACATTTGTTCAATGATTCAAAGATGTGTTGCATTCTTTGATGCTGCATTTGTTTAACTCTGTGAAGCTGTGTTACTGTGCCTGTCTAAAACACCTGACTTGTCTGATAAATTTGAACACTGTATGACTGATAGCAAGGCAGGAGAAAGGATACAAGTGGCTGACAGTAAGAGAATAAATGGGAGAAATCTGGGAGAAGAAGGAAGGAGGAAGAGAACAAGGAGAGGAGGACGAGAGGGGCCAGCCACACCGCCAACTATGGAGTAAGAGTGAAAATAAGATGTACAGAAGTAAGAAAAGAAAAACCCCAGAGGCAAAAGGCAGATGGGATAGTTTAAGTTAAGGAAAGCTGGCTAGAAATAAGCCAAGCTAAGGCTGGGTATTCATAAGTAATAATAAGCCTCCGTGTGTGACATATGTGGGAGCTGGGTGGTGTCCCCTCCCCTGAACAGAGCTAAGATCAAAGAGTCAAAAAAGTACACAATAAAAAAACAACCAATAACAGGCAGCCATTTTTGAATGGCTGGACCGCATCCTGTAAGTCATTCTAATAAAATAAGCCATGCATACGCGCGTGTGCTCACAAACGTCTGTGCACACACACACACACACACACACACATAATGAACATACATATACATAAATATATATGTATGCATTCATTCGTTCTGTAAGTTCTGATCCATGAATACTACAAATACCTATAGGTAAAACAACCAGCCTCAATCTCAACTTCATATTGTATGTAAAATTAATTCAAAATGGCATGGACCTAACTGTAAAAGCAAAATAAAAGATTTACAAAAGGTTATAGATATCTAGAGCTAAGTAAGCTAAGAGCTTTAGCTCTCATGGTGAAACTATACACTCTAACAGGAAAAACTTATCCTCATTAAAATGAAAAACTTTTATTCTGTAGACGCCCACTGGGAAGAGGATGAAAAGAATATATTAACAGAGATAATTAACTGCAAGCCAAACACCAGAATCCAGAAAACAGGCAGAGCACCGGGATTCAACAGTTAAGAAGTAATCTAATTCAATTATAGTCCAACAGAGTGCATTTTCATAAACACAGGCCACATCATATACTATTTATACACAAAGGGAAAGGGGTATCTTTACCTAGAGAGGTGGCCATCTTTCTTACGACACTGCAGAGTGTCTTCTGAGAAGGATCCAGTAAACACCACTCCTCCTCAGAAAACTGCATTTCTCTATCTTCAAATGTCAACAAGTCCTGAAAAAGAATGGATTGGAGTTTAGTACTAGCACTACAGAAGCTGTTTGGTCACATGCCTCTGAATTACGTGGTAGAAGACATTAGCATTATAGAATCTAAGTGGAGAAACTAAAATGACAAGAAGTAGCCAACTGGACCAGTAAATAGCTTGTGAAATATCCGATTTCCGTTCCCAGTATGCCCAATCAAGTTGCTTGGACAGCATTAAGGTCTAACAAACCCCAGAATACCTAGTGGCCACTATGGGTGTTAGAAGGAAAAGGCAGAAATGAGGCTGCCTGAAAAAGATGATAGTTACAATAACAAAAAGCAGTCTGGCTTCTACCCAGCAGCCTCCATGCCTACAAACACAGCCATAGCTCAAGACAAGACCAATATTGTGTTGAGCATACTGGTGGGTTGCTCAGAAGCTACCTTCATCATTTGCTTTCTTGACTCTGACCCTTGTAAAGTGATTTTCTCATTTTATGTAAAAGATAAGGCATGGCAGCATGGGACTGATCCAGACCTCCTGAGTGTGAGTGTCAGTGAGGAGGCCTGGGCAACCTATGGGGCCCTGGGCAGTGAATCAGTGTTTATCCCTGGCATACAAACGGACTTCGTGTGTCCATAACACAAAGTGGGATGCTCTCTCAGCCTGGACTCTTAGGAGAGTGCCTGGACCCTACCATGAGCGAAATGACAGACTCTAGATATCCCCTATGCGGAAGGAAGTGGCGATAGGGTGGGAGGCTGGGGGGGTGGGGGTTGCGGGAGGAGGGGAGGGAGAGGGAACTGGGATTGTCATGTGAAGCAAGCTGTTTAAAATTAAAGTAATAAAAAAGTTTAAAAAATGAAAAAACATAAGGCATGGAACTTACAAGGCTTTTCTTGGAAGCCTAATTTTGAAACCTCCCTATAAGTAAGAAAAACTTTTGTAGGGGAAAGTGAATGAAACAAAGAGAAAAATGAAGACAGGGATGAGTGCCAACATCTCTCTACATGACTGGGTTACAATAAGAGACTAAAAATCAACTCTGACTTATATTTCTAGGTTGGTTCTTGTAGGGAGGTGATACGTTCCTGTCACCGGGCGGTGTATCTTGGTTTCCCACGCAATAGCAGCTCTGAGAACATGTCACTAGGAGAGAACAGTGGAGGTCCTTTGCTCTCAGCTATGGGCTGTGTTTTCATTAGAGGATGCCACCCTCAGGATCTAGATTCCCTCTGTCTCTCTGTGGCTGTTACTCTTCAGTGTCTTCTTTCAATTGTGCTTTACATGTTTCTTCTTCCTTTGCACCCTCCCCAGAATTGTCTACCTTGTGCTCCTGTTCTCTACCCTCTACTTTAGTCTCGGTCCTGTGATAGGCTTTAGATCTGCCTTCCCATGCTTTTCTTGCCTTTTATTTCTGTTTCTAACATCACAAGTGTTGTATTCTTAGATCTGGTAGAGTAGGCCCACCACCATCTGGCCCTGAAGACCATGAATGACTACCAGGGACTCTGGACTTCATGGAGTGACTGTCTGTACGTTATTTTGAAGCCAGTCTAGCCATTCTAAAAGGTTTTTTAGTTTATATACATTGGTGATTTGCTCGTGTGTGTGTCTGTGTGAGGGTGTCGGATCCCCTGTAACAGGTGGTACAGACAGTTGTGAGCTGTCATGTGGGTGCTCGGAACTGGATACCCATCCTCTGGAAGGGCAGTCGGTGCTCTTAACCGTTGAGCCATCTCTCCAACCCCTGCCTAGCCATTCTAAAGGAATGAGAAAATGTGACTAAATCTGTCTCACTCCTTGATAGCTCAAACCAAAACACATCTACCTTCATCCTATGTCATTGTGCATTACAAGGGATCTTAATTCTCACCTCATTGGGCACTGCATCAGGCTGTGTCTGCAAGAATCCAACAAGTGCCATGGCCTGTTTGACATGCTGTGGACGATGCTTTTGCACCCAGTTCTTCATTGCCTGGGGCAGAATGTTCAGGAACTGCTCTGGCACTGGAGATTCCAGGATCTCATCTTTTAAGCTGGTCGCTGGCATCAGCCACTAATAGCATAATTCGTGAAGCTTGCGGGCAACCTCTACTGGTCCAGGTACTTGATTGTTCCGGAAGCGCTGCTGAGCACTTTCAGGAGGGTGACGTTCTGTTTGTGAGCTATCATTCCTATTCTGCGCACCCCCCATGTGAGCGCCGAAGCACCCATCTTCCTTCCCCTCGCTCATTATCACTTGCTATAGGAACAGTTTTACTTTTCTGGGAGATACTGCTATCCCCTCGGTGTGACCTTTCACAAGTGAGGCACCATCAGGTTTGATACAAAACCAATGAATGCATGAGTCTTCTTCCAAGGGGCAGACAAAGGGAAGGAGAGAGACAAAAAAGAAAAGAAAAATATGTGATAAATCCACTGGGCCCTTATTACCAAAGGAAAGTAAAAGGACAGTCCAAATGCTCCTTTAAATCCAACTGTCAATACTGTATTATGGTAGGCATTACTTCTGAAAGTGTGCTTCTCTCCCCTTTTTCTCCACACTAGATTACAGCACAGCTTAGTAAGGACAAACGTCAAACATTGCCCTCTTTTTTGATGAACAGTTTAGGAAAATTTGATGAATGACAAAACTAGCACCCAATGACTAAAAGGAGCTCTGAGACTCTCCAGTACTTGTGCATGCCAGTCCGATTGTCACAAGTAAGGCATATTTCTGGTCCTTTCCCATGTAACAGGTAATCCTAGACTTTCAGCTTCACTCAGTGGCAAACTAACTTCTATGCCCATCAACTCTTTCACAGTAAATGAATTTTTTTTTACATCAGAGACTGTTAATGTTTTTCCATCTCCACTGTATTAACATGGAGAGGAAAACCAAGACAGTAAGATCGGAGATATCATTAGAGGCAAGGTAACTGAATGTCCCTTAGTGAATGTCCTCCCTCGATGGAAACAGACCACTGATACTTGGGGGATGTCCATCTCTAAACAGTTCATAAAGGGGCCTGCACAAATTTATTCCTGTGTATTCAAGTATGTGTTAAACTTAAAAAAAACTTACAGCTGCTCTTTGCTTACAAGATATTCAAGTGCCAGGTTATTTTAAAAACAGAATATGATTCTGTATTCTACAGGCTAAGGATACACTTGATGGCCTGATTTCCCAGAGGCAGACAATCCAGCAGAAAGAACAAAACTCTCAGGAGGTAGCCAGTATGCAAAGACGTGAGTTCCTGTCTTGTTCTTGCAAACACAGGGGATAGCATCGCACTTCCTAGATTTTTGTGTCAGCAGAAGCCAAATGGCTCTTTCTGTGGTATAAAGACCATGAGCCAGTGGCGGCCTTTATGAGTGCAGGGATGGACATTACCACCCGAACCCACTCCACTGATTCATCTCATTTTCTCCAAGGACCACTGTGACATCCACAGTCATTTCGCATGTGAGCAGCCTGTGGCTGTGCTCTAACCACCACTGGTTGCATAGCCACATAGCTAGAAGGTTGCTTCTGGATATTTGAAGTGGCTGATGGAGTCTGCATTTGATCTTTGATGAGGACAGGTCCTGAGGAAGGATTGGTAAATAGAACACAGAGGAGGAACAAGAGTGGATAAAGCTCCCTTCATTCTCTCACTTCTGATTCCTTCTGTGGTTTAATACCCAGAAATTTTGACAGAAATAATCAAACTGACGTGCTGAAGAACTGTAGTCCCTTTTTGGAAAACATCACAAATGAGACTGTTAAAATTGGCTTATGAAGCCCAGGCATGGTGGCACATGACACCTGGCATGCCCAGTGAGTCTCAGGACAGTCAAGGTTACATAGTGAGACCCTGTCCCCCCAAATAAAAAGTTATTAGGCGTGATTATTGCTCTTACAGAGAATCCCAGTTCAGTTCCCAGCACACTGGCAGTTCACACAGCCTGTATAAAATCCAAGAATTCAGCCACCTCTCTGGACTCTGCTGCTCTCTTTTCCCTGCCTCAGGCATACACATGTGTGCTCACCAAAAAAATAAAATCTTTTAAAAATGACTTACGAGGAATTGGCAAGGTGGCTCAGTGGTTAAAGGAGCTTTCCACTAAACCATACAACTTGAGTTAGATCACTGGGACTCACATGTTACTGGAGAAAACTGCTGCACAGATGGTTCAGCAGTTAAGAGCACTTAGTATCCTTTCACAGGACCCAGGCTTCATTCCTAAAACCCACATGGCATCAGACTCACAACGGTCTAAAACCCCACTTCCAAGGGATCCTCTTTTGATCTCCAACGAACAAAACAGGGGACGCAAGCAAAACACTCCTACACACAAATATAAAGAAATCGAGAGGGGGGGAGGAGTCAGAAGGGGGAGAAAGGGGGTGAGAGGTGAGGGGAGAGGAGAGGCAAGAGGGAGATGAGAGGAGAGGAGCAGAGAGGGGAGGGGAGGGGAGGGGGAGTGAGGGGCAGAGGAGAAGCAAGAGGGGAGGTGAGGCGAGAGAGGCAAGAGTCATGGGGAGAGGAGAGGCAAGGGCAGAGGAGAGAGGGGAGGGGAGAGGAGAGGAGAGGCAGAGGCAGAGAGGCGACATGAGCCAGAGGGGAGGGAAGAGGGGAGAGGCACGAGAGGCAAGCAGAGCAGATCCCGAGGCTGCATCAAGGAAGAGCTGGTGCACACCTTTAATCCCAGCACTCAGGAGGCAGAGGCAGGAGGATCGCAAGACCAGCTTGTTCTACAGAGCGAGCTAGCCAGGACTACACAGAGAAAACCTGTCTCGAAAAACTACGTGCGCACGCATGCACGCACGCGAGCGCACACACATATACAAACACACACACACACACACACACACCGAAAGAAAGAAAGAAAGAAAAAAGAACAAAAAAGGCCAGAGAACTACCTTCACAAAGTTGTTTGACCTTTGCATGATTAGGCGCAAACGTACAAACAAATTAGCGAGCACAAGGTGGCAGAGCGCTTGGTGGAGGGATTCCATGTGAAGGCATGAAGCGAGGCTGCCTATGCACTCCCACGCGTGCTCACAAAAAATCACTTCCTGTTTTTTTTTTAAATGGGCTATTGCGGCTGCAGACATGCCTCAGCCGTTATAAGGGTTTGCGCACCCAAGTTCCACTTCCAGCAACTACATTGACGGTTTACATCTCCTTGTAACTCTTAACACCAGAGGGATTTGATCTCCCTGGGCATACACAATGCACACCTACCCACACACAAAATTTAGGAGAAAATAAATCTGTTACTACAGTCTTATGAACCATGCCGTAGGTCTAATCCCCTGGTGCTCTCGGTGTAAGATTAATGTTGTTCAATATTTGATATGTTCTATTTTCCGTCTAGCAGAACCTGTCCTCAGCAAGGGTCAAATGCAGACTTCATCAGCCACCTAACCTCCAGAAGGAACCTTCTAGCTATGAACCTATGTGAGTCAGAATGACTGTTAAAAAAACTCCCTTTCCACCAGGAAAACTGCACAGCGTATCCCCAAATGCCCCTTCAAGGAGAAAATTCCGTGGATAAGGAAAAGAAGCAGAGCTCACATACTCACCCTAATGTTTGAATTTAGTTGCAGATTAAGGACTTTGGAAGTCCTCCCCCAAACACCCATTTCGGCAATCCATTTTTTCCAGTGCCCAAATTTGAGGCAACTCTGTGGAAAAACATGGTGTCCCAGTTGACCCCCATTCACCACCAGCTAGCCGGTGCTCCGAATGCTCTCTTGAGATGAAGGCCAAAGGGAACTAAACTCAGCTTGTCTGCCACCGTTTTTAGGTCGAGGCAACTTTGGCTTCACGAATGCTGCTGTTTCCAGATGTGACGCCTCCTCTCGTGCACATTTGCTGTGCCCGCCAAACAAACAAACAAACAAAATCCCCTGCACTTGATGTGGGTGGGTGGGGAGAGAGCTGTGTTTCCGGGTTATTTCATGAGGCCACACCCAGTGATCTCTCTTCTGTACTCTATGGTTTCTGGAAGAACTGGAACTCGCACTTTAGGGTTTTTTTTCATTTTTTAAAATTTTCTTTTAATGTATGAATATGTGCATGGTTGTTTGTTCATATTTGTGTGTACATGCCTGTTTGTATGCATATTGCATGGATGCAGTACCTGTGGATGCCAGAAGAGGGCTCAGGATCCACTGGAGTTGGAGTTGCAGGCAGTGAGAGCCCCAGTATCAGTGCTGGGAACTGAACCCACGTTCTCTGTAAATGCAGCTAGCCTTTTAAACTGCTGAGCTGTCTTTCCAGCTCCTGCCTCTAGTTTTGCAGTCAATTCAAGAAAGAATTGATACTATCAAATCTGGAGACCTGTTGAAAGCCATAGTTGCCCTGAAAATGGTTCGTGGTCTAGGTGATATGTAGCTCCCCAATTCCTGGTTCCAAGACAGCCAATCTCCAGCCCCTGACGATGCACATCCCAGTTGTTCCTTCTGGGTATGTTGTAAAGGACAGCCCTTTCTGCCAAGAAGACACAAAAGAATAAGACTCATAAGGTTTGAACCATCTCAGCACGGGCACATACTGGGTATTCTTCTCTTTCCTGAGTCCCAGACAGAGAGTTGTAACTGCCTTCATTATTCTTATCACTAACTTCATTTAGTAAGGTAATTTAGTCATGGTCCAAATTCACCATAAATCATTAACAGCATTCCTTTAAAAGTTTACCATTTTTTTTGTGCTACCGGTGTTATGTTCAGGAAGCTGTCTCCTGTACCAATTAGTTCAAGGGTACCACCCACTTTGTCTTCTAAGAGGTTCAGTGTGGATGGAATTATGTTGAGGTCTTTGATCCATTTGGATTTAAGTTTTGTGCATGGCGATAAACATGGATCGATCCGCATTCTTCTACATGCCAGCCTCCAGTTATGCCAGCACCATTTGTTGAAGATGCTTTCTTTATTCCATTGCATATTTTTAGCTTCTTTGTCAAAGATCAGATGTTGATACGTGTGTGGGTTAATATCAGGGTTTTCAAAGTTTTCCATTTTATTGGTAGTTCTTTCCTTCTTTCCTTCCTTCTTTCCTTCTTTCCTTCCATTTTTGTTTTTTCGAGACAGGGTTTATCTGTATCACTTTGGAGCCTGTCCTGGACTCCCTATGTAGACCAGGCTGGCCTTGGACTCACAGAGTTCCGCCTGCCTCTGCGTCCTGAGTGCTGGGATTAAAAGTGTGCGCCCCCAACGCCTGACTCTGGCAGTCCTTTCTAACCACTAATTTATTCTTTAAAAAA